CAGCAGGAACAGTTTTGCTACAGTCAGTTTCAGTGGGAGGTGCAGGTTAGTAATTTGTAATCCGTTTACTTTAGAACTCATCAGCTATTTTGTTCTCATTTGGAAAGGGCAGGAATAAAATAAATATCCCTGGTTAAATATAGTGACCATGATCTTTCTGATCACATTCTTTGGGTCAAATTCCTCCTTAGTAATGGAAGTCCACCATTTTCAGTGGGCTCACCTGAAGGACAGGTCTGGACCTTTGCATTTTAGGAAGTTCTTAATTTCCTAAGCCCAAATTTGGACATGACACAAGTGCTCCCTCTATTTTAGTTTCCAGAGTGTTAACAAGCACTTTGGCTAGGGACAGATATTACACATAAACTGGTTGAATGTAGTATCAGACTTAACTGATTTGGGTCAAACTGGTTTATGCAATGCAACCTCCCTCCTCTCTCCCACTGCACAGACCATAGCCAGCATGTGGTATCCTAGCTAATTCTGAGAGGTGTCTGTGTAAAGCAGACAGGACAAAGGCACACAGAACAGTGTCCACTTAGGGCTTTTTGGAGCTAATCAACAGGTAGCTGATAATGTGCCTCCTTTCCTTCCTTGGAAAAAGTTGTTTAAAAAGAGCTTAACTAATGAGAGAGGCTTTCTTTTGCTGATGGGCTGATAAACACTGTGTAACTCCCTGCTGCGTAAGTAAATGCTGTGTAACTCGCTGCTGGCTCTCAGAGGAGTAGCAAGGGCAGGGGGGCTCCCTAATCAGAGTGTCCTGTGGTGCCTGGCCACATCCTCCTCAGCTCAGCTGTGTAGAAGAGATGGGAGGACTGCACTAGCACCCCCTGGCTTCTAGCCTGAGCCACTGCAGGCATGTGCCTGCATTTCATCAGTCCAGAAGGAATGTCTGTATGGTTACAAACCGGTTCAGCCTAGCCAGGTTAGACTAACCTGTAAAGATTGAATTAGTTCAGACTCAGGCTTTTTGAATGTCTGTCCCTAGCCTTTCTCATTCTTTCATCAACTTCAGTAGTTTCAGTGGAAAAAACTCAGTCCTGAAAATTATGTGTATAGTAGTGTGCAGTGAGTTAAAGTACAGCAAGCAAAATTTTCAAATGTGGGCACGTGTGATGGAAGAATGTAAAATTACATGCATCTAAAATATGAATGTAAATGCTTAATGTATATTAATACATTGACTATTTAAGTCTCTACTTGTTAGCTACCTGGCTGGTAATGTACATGCACAGATACCCACTCTGTATGGGCACACCGCATGTTTGAGAACAGAAAGCATATGCATTTAAACCTAAGCACACAACTTTATGTAGCCACATTTGCAACAAAAAAAAGTGTTTCAGCACTTAAATTAAATTAAATGTCCTGAAGGGTCAAAGCAAAATCCTGCTGTGACAGAATTAGTCTACATAAAGTATATTTGTGGTTTAAATCAAGTAATCTGGCTGGTTCACTCAGATTGACAGGAAAGGCAGTTTGCTCCTAGTGGCTTGGCAAAAGCTTTGAGATCAACACTGAGCAATAACTGAGAGGAGAGAGTGCAGTGAAGAATTGTTTGAGACCTCCAAAGCAGTGTTTTGGTTGCCTCAAGCTCATTCTGCATGTGTTTTCTGTCAAGAATAGGAACACTGGTTTGTTTGCCATCCTGGTGAAGTGTTATGTTCTGTGCAGCAGCGTTCCCTCTAAGCTGTGCAGTTTGCGCAGCCATATAGGTGTGCTCATGCCACCCTGCTAGGTGCACCTGCATGGCCATGCACACCACGCAGCTTAGAGGGAACGCTGCCATGCAGATGAGGGATGTCCCATGTGCGCTGCCTTTGAGCACACCATTCACTTTCTGGTTTACTTTGTTTCCCAGTAATCTGCTGGGTTGATGAATTATGAAATGTTATGCAGTTATTTAAACCACTTTTCTTTAAGAGCTGACTTTCTCATTCTTTCTGCTGTTAACATAGCATGCCTCTGTGCCAAAAAGTGGATTTTTAGCAGAGGCCATGGTGAACACATACTGTAATTAAGGTCTTTGGGACTTTGCTGTTTTACTGAAATCTGTTTGATGAGCTAGCTGTGTGTGTTGCGAGATGCTTCGTTTGGTTCATTTTGTGCAAGATTAGGAAGAACTTTCCGGCTAGCTAGAGAAGTTGTAGAATCTCCATCCCTGGAAATCTTAAAGAGCGGGTTAGACAGTAACTTGACTGGGCTGGTTTAGTCAGGGATGATCCTGTCCCAAACAGGAAGCTAGACTAGATGACCTAATGAGATCACTTTCAACCATACTTTCCTATGATTCTATGATCTAGGGAAGAAGACCCGAATTTACACCATAAACTTCAGTTGCATATATTCTAGCATGTGTCATTGTGGGATAAGTTTGTCTTCTCTGTTAACCAGGAGTGTTCCCTCAACGCACACTCCT